TCGATGACATCCAACTGCTTGTGGGTCAACTTTTATGACCTCATTATGAAGGCAAATGCTTTGCTGTGAGTTTTAGGGCTACTTTCCATTCCACCCAACGCGACTCTCCTTACCAGCCTGGCAGTTGAGGCAGCAGAGTCCCTGGTGGAGGTACTGATGGTTTTCAACGCAGTTCCTGTGTCGTCGAAGGGTAAGGTTTCTGTATTCATCAGTGGACCACTGAGGCGATGGAGGATCTGCTGCATGGCACACCAGCACAAAGATGAGGCCTGCTACCAGCATCTGGATCACCAAGATCAAGGAGAGGCGGAGGAAGGCCAAACAGAGAGAGGGAGAAATGTAACATTATTATGTGAATCCACAGTTTACGAACTCACCCAAACCTAATAAATAAAAGACAGTAAAGAGGAGAGTCTTTATAAGGAGCCTTGTGTGAGCAATATACCACATAATTTGAACCATCTGATCTGAGCATCTGCTGTGGGAAAGAAATTAAGAGAGCAATGCAGCTGGTCAGAAACTGGAGGCAAAACAATCCTGTGTGAGCAGGATTCAGAGCTAAATGCTAATGGATATGAAAAGCAGCAGGCAGAGAAACCTAATTAGTCCATGATTTGGTTTTCTTATCAGAAAGGTTTTTTTAAAAAACAAAGTATTTCTTCTTCCTCACTGTGGGCGTTTCACTAAAGGTTTTTGATAAGCTATCTCAGCTCACAGCAGCACGATGTCCGTATCAAATGTGATTCTAGAAATCTATTCATGTACTAGATAATACCAGGCTTGTATAGGTGGGGTAGGGAAAAGAATATAGCTGAACACTTTAGTGCGGCCCTCAGGCACTGGTGTTTATTCACACGCTTTTCACCATGTCAATGTGAGAAGGCCCCATTCATTGGCAAACAACACACTTTAGTGGCTCTACTTCAAATGACCCACATTCTTCAACCCCGGCCCTTTGAATGCCATGACATGCGACACTGCCATGAAGCGCCTCAAATGCAATGTGACACCTTCTGGGTAAATGAGAGGCCTAGATTTGGAGGTTTTGCCTCTCCTGAACACCAGCACCCCACCCCTTCTCCAGTAGGCCAGGAGAGAAAGGATCAGGTTAGGGTGGAGTGGGCCAGGTTGAGGAGAAAGAGACAGGGCCCTTTCAAATAAAAGTGAGAAATTGTAGACAGCAGGCTAAAGATGGGGTGTTCTAGTGGGAATACGCAGCCTAAAAAAGACTGTGTGGGAGAATGAGAGAAAGAAAGACTTCAGAGAAGACCAGAGATAGAGAAAACAGGGACAGGCCGGAGCTGAGAGCTGCTCCTGATGCTTGACTTGGCTCTCTGGAGGGACGCCATGGCTTGTTGCTCAAAAGAACTTTCCCCTCTCCTTCTTTCAGTCTTTTCCCTTCCCTCGGCTCACGTCAGACTTTCCAAAGACACTAAGAGGCAGACGTGGAGGGGCAGACGACCGACAGAGCAGTCACAATCACACCATTTAGATCTATCCAAACATTCTGGTGGGTAGGGAAGCAGAAGAGAGACAGAAAGGAAAGGAAAGGAGATAGAGTGAGAGCAGGGAAGGGAGGGGGAATCTAACAGCTTGCATGACACAGGGTGAGTCTTTAGTCTTGAATATACTCTGTGTATGGCTGCAGGGTGGGGGAAGAAGAAGGACACGGAACCAGGGAAATGAAACAACACTGTGAAACAGAAGAAAAATCTGTATATACCAAGCATGTGTGCAGGAGAACATTATAAATAAAAGTAGGAATGTCAAAGAATGAGCTGCAGTGAAAGTAACCCAACACCCGTGAAGTGCATAGGAAGAATGTTCTATGTAAGCTTTTATCTTGCATTAAATAACTGATAAATTCATTGTGGCCCATCACATTTTTCCGACAAAGACGTGACATGGACACATTGCAGGGTTTAAAACTTCACACCCTTTGTTAATTTAAGCATCAGTTTTTCAAAACATTCCCAGGTCTGTTCAATCTCTGTAGCCAATCTGGAATGCTCGGCAGTTGAAGGTTGTTGCACAGCAAATCCAATTGTATTTTATCAAGGAAAGCACAGCTGCGTCCATGATGTACTGTCAGGAAGTGATTTTTTTGCTTTTATTTTTACAAATACCCTTCAAACTCTACTATACGTGACGAAAAAAACTATCATAGGACTAACAAGCCCTGTAAGTTGTCTTCAACAACAACAACGTAAACTTTGTTTTTATGTTAATAATTACAAAAAGATTTTGGCATGTTACAGTTAGTTGGTTGGTTGGTTGTTTCAATCTTTCTATATGAAGTTTGCTTTGGTTTACTCTCACAGTCCAAAATATACTCTGAATAGACCAGAGGTGTGAATATGGGTGCAAATGATTGTTTGTCTTTTTATGAGGATCTTTGGGTACACACTGGACTGTCCAGGGTGGATGGATGGATGTGATTGACAGCTGTCAATCAGATACAGCCAGATAAGAACTAACTACACTTTTTAGTTGTTGGAAAATTAAAAACAATGACAAGGGTCCTCAACTATCAGACTACTAAAAGTAATTTAGGGAAAATTATCCCCCAAATTTATACAAACAAAACCAAAATTTAAACAAGAAGTAGTTAAAGTTAAACTTACGCAAGCGTTATATTAACTGATCAGGGTAATTATCTTTACTGAGATTTAAAACCTTCACAATACACACAAGAGCAGCAGCACATTAATGTTATAGTACTCTAAAGCACTCATGTCTGAGGGAATCTTGATGTGGGTTGTACACCAAACAGACACACAAGAAAAATGGAAAAATGCCATAAACATGTTCACACTCATGTCCAGAGGCTGCTAAACTGCATGGGCACAAACCTGCTGGCTACATAAGTGTTATGGTCAGCCACAATGTGGCTTATTTTTTTTACCTCTACAACCAAATAAGTAGGAAGACTGGAGTGACCAAAACCTCAGTGAAGAAAACCCTCCAAACCCACAATCCCTGGAAGTTCTCCAAACCAAGGCCGAAGTGGTTCCACTCCAGTCAGTCCTCCTCATTTTGCTGTACATTGAGAGGTCTGTACTGTGATTGTTGGGAGCAACAGCATCCCATTGTCACACATTCTATGAAGGGTAAGATCCGTGTTTGTGTGGACTCAAGTTAAACTAATAAAAGTCTAAATAAAATAATGACAGACCTCCTGTTTATCTGACAACAGTAGCTTCCCTCCACTTCCTCCACAGAGCCCCGGCTCTTCCACATGGCCTTGGAACAAATGCTGTGTATACTGAGAGCACATTTTTGACTAAATGACAGGACATCCTCTCAGTTGACCAAGGTTATCAGTGGGCCACTTAGTGGGACATGATCACTTCATATTCCAGAGGAAATTACAGTCACCTCCATTACGTGTTAAAAAAAAAAAAAAAAAACAGAAGAAGAACTGAAGAAACAGCAATAAATTCTTGGAAACACTGCATACCAGGAAGATTTTTGATTTCATATTGCACAGATAATTTTAATTACAACCAATAAGAGGACACACCAGATGACCATAATAATGCATTTGTACATGAACCAGACTTTATATCATTGTTTTTTTTATTAACCTTGGTACATGACTACTAAAGGTGGAGGTAACACCATTTTATTTTCACCTAAAGAAAAGTGTTTGATTTTAGATTAGTCCATTCTTTACAGTATAAGCAGTTTTACTTTTTACCTTCCACATATGACTTTACTCCTATAATTTAGGCAGCAATGAAGAAAACCAGTTCAAAATCACTTGAACCAACACATTTTAATTTGTGTGAGAAAAATACATGGTCAATACGATTATTGACCATGAAGGCTCTCTCTTGAGGCTTGAGTAATTCACTCACTTTATAATAATGTTAAGAATTGTTAAGCTTTAAGAACAAAATATGTTATTTTAGCTGCTAATTTTTAAAACACTGACTGCAACATGAAACACAGACTTTCGTTCCAGTGTCAACAACATGTGCTCTGACTCACAGAAAACATCTCCTAAAGCCATTTGAAAAAGTAGTTCTCCTCCGACTCCGAGCTGACAGGAACTGTACAGTGTGTGCATTGCAGCTGCCACCGTTTACAGGCTTGTGTTGTGCCAGAGTTTATGCAAACATTGCACAAATCATGTCCTCACTGACACCATTAGTCATTTAATTGTTTTCCTTTGCTTTGTTTTCTCACTGTGATAAATTATGCAAAGGCCGTATTTCCTGTTTAATGCTGTAGTTGGATGTAGGGCTGCTATTATTTCCAAGTATTTCAATGAACCTGCTGAAATACACATTCATCTGATGAATGTCTTTTAGAGACATGGATTTTGTTTTAATTCCTATTCATATAGGAAAAACCATAATTTATGTTTTTATAAAATAACAGAAAATTGTATAAAACATTTTATTACATTTTACAATGTCCAGATTCAGTGAATGTAGAATCGTAAAAGCAGGTTTTTTTTAAAAAGTATTCTACAACTCCTAACTACCACACCAATGCCATAAGCAAATAACAAACATTGCAAGTAGTTGAAGAGAGAAGAGAAAAAGGTTGATTAGAGTCGGATCCTTCAAGGTGACTCCAAATGAGGCAACCAAAGGGACTGAACCAAACTCTCACAGCCAGAAGTTATCTAGTTTTGGACATCTTGCATCTATCAATGATTAGATAAACCCCTGGTCTAATCTTAGACGGTCCTACTTTTGACCAATGTTCAATTAATCTTAAATCAATCTTAAATTGTTGGTACAATCTTAAAACTGTACCAACAGTTGTTTCTGTCATATATATGAATCATTATGTAGTTTGAGAAGATGATAATTTTACTACAAAGTTCTTCAATCGCTCCCTTTTGTGTAATCAAGTTATGTGTACTAACTAATGTGGTTCAGTTTGATTCTGCAGGAATCACCTGAAAAGTGGAACAATTCCATATTTTCTTGGTCTTCCCTTCAGTGGCACATGAACTGGACACCAAATTGTGAAATGTACCAGTGGGAAACAGAGAAAAATACCACAAGGAGAGGAGTGTTAGCTTGGTTAGCTTGTCCTAGCATAGCCTCAATGAAGACTGACTTATAGCCAATTGATTGGCCTCCAGCCAATAATATATATATCCCCTAATTAAACACTCTTCTTGCCTTAAGTGCCACTGTTTGCAAAACTCAGGGCTTAGCCATAGCGCTAATATCAATTGCTATACACTAGCACTAGATCCTAAGCTCTAACCACTAGCACTAAGTATTAGGGCTAGTGATTTCAAGTGATCCTAAAAATAT